TTAGTATAAAAAAAAATGTGTAGGTACATTTTCTTCAAAATCTATACTAGTTTTTTTTGGTGTAGGTAACTCAAAAACGCATAAGTTAATAAGAGCATAAGAACTGAAATTACATTCTGGTGGTGAACAACAAAGCCAAAAATGTAGGGATTATTAAGACTTAAGAGCTTATGATAGTAGCTACGACCCAAATAATAATGAACAAATTCATGTAATTGGTATTCGAACCAAAGAATCATAATTATCAATTATCAATATTATATTTATAATACAGGAGAAAAGTATCTCTATAAGTGTGTCAGAGTAAGACGTAATGTCATCTAATTGTTAACTACTAAATAATCTAGGTACGTACCCCCCCCCCCCCCCCAACATCACCCATCAGAAAGTAATTTTAGTTACTTTATTTAACCAAAAGAAAACTATACCTACACACTGTGGAGTTATGGTTGTGCATAATATCATTTTGTCAATGACTAATTTAAGAAAACTGTATTTTTAAATTTTATAATAAAAAAGAAAAGTAACTACCTACCTATTTAAAACAATTATAAACTATACCATCATACTTTTAATATTTGTCGTATTGATAGTTTATAATATGTATCTTAAAATTTAGAAATATATGACTAATATAGTAATATAGTAGTGTGTTGTAAATTATTGTTATACCTGCAGCAGTTATTTGTAGGTACATACTAAATAAGAAATTATTACTAAGTACGAAAAAAATAAATCACAATATAATATAAGTTATAAGGATAACTGTAGCCATACAAAACAGTTAAAACATTTTGTTTTTCATGCCTATGGACTTAAAACTAATTAATTTCCACTCTTTAACTTAATTTTTTCTGTGTTTGTTAACTTGATCAATTTTAATATGATCAGATCAGGTCGATTCACTCTAACTTTTTAGAAAATTAAGAAACAACTAAAATAAACGAAAATTTGGTATGCATATAACGAATACCTGGACATGAATCTAAATATTTTGAAAATGTTATGGTTTTTGATTCCAATATGGTCAATCAATGAAAATTGCATGTATTTACAGTAATTTATTTTAGAGGTACACCACTTACACGAAATACTGAAACCGATTTTACGTAAAAATTCACGTTTTCCTATTTTTTTTTTTTTTTTTTCCCGGCGCTTTTGGAGACTAGGTAGGTACTGTTCATTTCGACATCCCCTATGCACCTACTAGATTCACTTTGCCACCGGAAAAGATGAAAAGCGAAGCATTATTTCGACTACTTATCGTGTACACAGACCCAAATATTAAATTTTATTACGCAGAACGTAAATTTGCTTATTGTTTCTATATAGGTCGATTCACTCCGACTTTTGAACTGACGGTGATAAATGTGATCTGCTGATCGTAAATTTGCTATATGAGACGGCGACAATAAAATGCCCGTGTTACGTCTTAAATCGTGGTTCGTGGAGCTGCATCGTTCACGAAATTTCGTAATATTTTAATGCCCGCCATTCTGTGTTATCACTATGTACCACGAACTATGATAGAAATAATTGTTATCAAATAAACAACAACATGATAATATTATTATTTTTTCGATGGTGACTTTAAATTTGAATCACTCGCGAGTCTCGATTATTTGAAATTTGAACAAAAATACAGACTACAGAACAACAGTCGTAGGTACAGAGTTCTATTCATAGATTTTGGTACAAAATCACCATGGATTAGTGTATTCTTTTTAGTAAAACTTCCAATGTATCGCCTCTCCACATTACGTAAATTTTCATTTGTAAGTAGGTATTATTTTCTAGTTGCACTGATTATATTTCTTAATAATGTGGAGTCAGTCTAATTTGCTAATTTGTTCACAAATATAGGTAGATTTCCAAAAAATCAATGAAATAAAAGGAAATAATGGCTACAAATGTTCGAATTATCCCGATTGCTACCTGGCATAGAATCTGCGGTAATCATTTTTCAATTATTAATGATTGTAAACAATGCTCGGCAAATTAGTAAATATGGTCAGAGGCTGCCTCAAAACATAATCCAAACCACTTGTCTGGGATAGAGAAGTAAAATAAATGTTAGTAACTTATGGAAACATTTTTACTACGAGCACGACTGGTAAATGGCATCCAAGAGTTAACATAATTCATAAATTTGGTACCTATTTATGTATTTTTATTTACAACTCGAAATTTTCAGAAAATGTTGTTTCTCCAACGACGGGTTAGAAGAAAATGAACAGACGAATAAAGGATTTGGAGGCCATACGGTTTATGGTTATTTTAATTAGCCCAGAAAAGCCTTAGATACTCAATAATGTCAAATTCACACACACACATGTGTAAGTATATCACACAAGTATCCAATTTTAAATGTTTACTCGTTGTGCACAGAGAGAGAGGACAAATGGTGCACTGACATATTTTTAACAAAAGTTTTAATTTTTAGATAATACAATTTTGCTGAACAAGAATCCAATTTTAATAACGCAGAGGACCACAACATAATATTGAAATTGCAAAGAAACACATAACTAGTTTTGAAATCGGTATCTCTTCCGAAGGGAAAGTGCATCTAGATGGATGCGTTAGACAGGTAATGATTGAATGTTCCCAGTTGTTTTCAAATACATCGGGAAAAACAAAAAGATAGTTAAGGGAAAATTGATTTTGTTTTAGAAGTGTGAGAAAAAAAAAATCCCTAGGTATAGATACATGATTTGTCTGCCGAATGTTCCTATTAGCATTTTCTATACACCATACAATTTTTAAAACAATTTTACTCTTTTTCACCTAGTTATTTTAATTCCTTTGATTAGTTTTGTTTTTTAAAATTATTGACAATATAAATTTTATTGCTATGCCAAAGAGTTTGAAAATGTATTACGGGCATCCTATTATAGTTTCTATAATATCTGTTCACAAATGTAAGGGATACATAGCCACAATTTTTCGTGAGCATTTAAAGTTCACACTTGGACAAAATTCATCAACAACCTGCAAATTATTTTATAGTTAAAAATGTATTAAATGTTCAAATGTATAATATTTAGCATATGCTTATAGTAAAAGTTGATAAAAAATGATCATAGTATTATTAATTATCAAATTGAATATAAATATGTAAATGATTGGTTTACAGGTCGTCAAACCCGTTCCCATTTGCAACGAGGAAAGACAAACTTCTTTGAAAAAAGAGTATGCAATTACCAAAAAGGTTCAGTGGCTGTTATTAAAATTCTTCAACTATCAACAATGGACATAACTGATGAAGACTTTTAAATTAGGTATATTCTGATAGGTACCTATTTCGTTTATTTTGTGTACTTATTTTACCTACTTCCCCCCCCCAACCTTTTCTGTGTTTATTAACTTATTAACTTTATTAATCCAGCCTACGCATTTATGATTGAATGTATACTAAACTATGACTATTATTAAAATAATCATTATACTCTTTTTTTATTTGAATTTTGTTGTATGCACTCAGTGTTTTCCCTATGATTATTATAAAATAATCATCTCATTCTTTTAATTTCGGATCTCGTTGTGTGTGTTCAGTATTTCTGTCAAATGTTACAACGCCTATTTCTGAACCCTAATTTTCTTATTACCTGGTTATGCCGGTCCGTCGTATATTATAATAATAACTATGTACTTATGAAATTGGTATTTGTTTCTGTCAAATGTTACAACGCCTATTTTGAACCCTAATTTTCTTATTACCTGGTTATGCCGGTCCACTGTATATTATAATAATAACAATGTATTTATGAAATTGGTATTACTCCGTTGTAACTGGCTTACTACATCTCCCCCTTTAAAAGTTGATTTTTATCGTCTAAAATGAGAAAAATTAACTCAATGGAGGGATTCTATTAGTTCAAGCACTTCCATGTGGTTACAAGTTACATATATCAATTATTACATTACATTCAATTATTACATGTTTACATAATATGTTTGTTACAGATATTTAGTTACATTATTGACTGTACGTCATGTTAAAAATATTATTCAAGGAAAAAAAAATTTAATTTTAAAAAATATGCAACTTAATCGGACCTACACATGTATACCAGGTGTACATGATAAATCTAATATTTACATTGACAATTTTCAATATAAATATTACAAAAAAAGTGTTCTACGAAATAAAATGTTAGTATTCAACTGACTTACAATATTCAAATATAATGCATAATAATTATTATTTTATTTTTCAATAAGGTACTTAATTTGTGAAAAACAACGTAATAAAAAAGTGAATGAATACTGTCCAGCTACAGCCATCATTGAAAATATTCATGATCCAGAATATCGTATGCGGCTTCAACCTGGAGGACACAACCATGGAGCTGTCGAAGGAGACCTTGATATGCCATACTTGAGAAGAGCTATCGGGAGGAGAGCTACAACATTAGGTGCTATGTCCATGCCTATCCGGCACATATACAATGAAGAAATTGTTAGGTAAAGAACATTTTATAGTAACTAAATACTGATTATTATAATAATTTAATAAACATTCCAGTCATCCTGCTGGAAGTCTTGGCTATACATTTCAACAGGCTCAACATAGATGCAAGAGAATGAAAAGCTGTAGACGCCCGAAAATACCAGAGACAATTCCAGCATTAATACATCTCTTGAACATGCCAGAACATATCACCTATAGAACCACTCTGCGTGAACCACCGTCAGAGTTTTTTCAGCAGGCATTAACTGTTGACGGTATTACAATAGGTGTAATATTTGCAAATTTGGATATGATAGCTATGTTTCGCGAAGAGTTACGCGCTGTAACATATGCAGGTTGTGACGGAACCTTTAAGACCACTCCGAGTTCACCAAAACAGTTCCGTAGAGGTTCTTTAATGACCTTTCAAATTGTATACAAAAATGTTGTAAGTTTATTTTGGTATATTACTGAAACATAATAATTAGGTAAATAACATTTTGATAATGCTTACTAGTAATTTCCAATTGTATATGCACTCTTGTCCATGGCTACAGAACAAGCATATATCAGTTTCTTTCGAGTAGTTAGAAATATGTTACCATTGGACTATGATGGTCTTACAATCATCACTGATTATGAGCGTGGGCTGATGAATGCTGTACAAGAGGTGTTTCCAGAGAGTAGACTACAATGTTGTTGGTTCCATTTCTGCCAGGTAATAGGTTAAGCATTTTAATATTATTTATTTTATGCTACATAAGCTGTAGACAATTTGTAAAACAATAATTGTTTTGTAAAAGAATTATAATTACTTTTCTTTTAGTCAATTGTGAGATATTGTCGGCGCAAGTATAATCTGGTATTAGACCTCATTAAAACCAATCCTGTAGCTGCCCGTGTATTGCGAATGGTAATGAACTACTTATAGTACCTATATAAATAAAATAAATTGTATATGAAATATAAGTTTGTAATTTAGGTCTTAGCATTGCCTCATTTACCAGCCAACAGAGGAAATGAAAGTTGCCCAAATTTTTGTATAAATGATGGTTTTAGGGCAATTTTAGATTTTGCACATCAAAATATTGAAGTTTACCAACGCATGGAAACATTTTTAATCGGGTATGTAATATATATATATTTATTGAACACTTAGCAGCTTATCATATCTATGTGAAATAATAAAAATAAAAAAATAATTGACATGTTTAGATTAACAGATACGTACAAAACTTTTGGTTGGTTCAAGTTGGACCTGAATTAATAACTGTATTTGCCAGCGAAATAAGAACAAATAATTACTTGGAATCATTCCACAATCAATTGCTCAGGTTTTTTGGGATGCATCCCAACATCTGGGACTTTATACGTAATAATCTATAAATTATTTTTTATATATATTTATGAACATTTTTTTTCAACATCAAATTATATACTAATTACTTTGTAGGCATAATTTCTTTGGCAAATTATATTGTATTGTTATTGCTAATTTATTTTCCGCTGTATAGAGAAACTGAGAATTTTGGAAAACCAGTATTATGTGGAGATGTTTCAAGTCAGAAAAAATCTTACGGTAGGTATGCTGTTAGGACAATCATTGAGATGAAAACAACTAAATTACATTATAATGAATATATTATTCATATAATCATTATATTTCCTGTTTAGATCCGGGATCAAACTTCCAGAGGGGAACGTGCTGTAAACACAGCGCTAATAAGACGAGCAATTGAACAGCTCAATGAAAACAATGACGTATTGAGATGTCTTAGAAGCATGGGTCAAGCCAATGCTGATTACTTAAAACGCCAAATCGGTCCACCTCCATCACCATAGCCTCTATCCTATATTTTTTTACATTTTTATTATTTATTTTACATTATTTTTTAAAATTAATATTTTTTGCCGGTTTAATTGACAAACGACCAACAATTACTATTTTTAAACAATTCATATTTTTTGACAACTATTTGACTAACAACCAACAATTATTATTTTTTGACGAATTATTTGACAAACAAGTAACTACTTAGAACAAAAAGAAACAATATATACTTACAACTTTACTTACAGCTAGCTTCTTCATAAGGATTAAGGATAGAAAATTAGCAACTTGGTAAAAGTCATGTGTCTCTATTTACTGACAGATATTCTAATTTGTAGGTTATAAGTTTATAACTTATATTAAACAATATCGTTATAATAAATTAAAATAATGCATTAATAAGTACATTATGCAGTATTAATTAATATTTTTAAAACATGTTGGCAATACCGTTAATATGGTCTAGGGCCATTAATAAATTATGTTGGCAACAATATTCTTCCATGATATTATCAGGAATATTAGATTTTGGAAGAACTGTTCTGAGACCGCTACAGCCATCGAGATAGATAAGCAATATTGTTTATCTATCTCGATGGCTACAGCTAATGAGAGCTCGCCATCTCAATGGACGGTATGCTTGTTGTATGCTACTGTAGCCTGTAGGTGACTTTGTACCAAACGATGTTTAGATTGGCGTCATTTCTGTGTTTAACCGAGATGCCCCCCCCAAACTCTATAATTTTTATACGAATTGCCTGCCGAGTGGTACAGATTCACTGGTTACTTACGTTACTACCCAACACCGATAATACACAATATGTTCATTGAGCACATATTTCAGTAGAAAATAAAAAAAAAAATTATAAATATAAGACGTGATAATATCTTAATTCAGACGCATATTACGTCAATATTGTCAACAAGTTGGTCCACAGATATTTCGTGTTTTGATTACCTATACAATAATTATTTTACATATCTATCCACTATAAATAAGTACCTACTGCAATATGCAAAAAAAGCGCAGTGGCGCATTTACTGGGGGGGTCCAGGGGTACTGGACCCCCCAGAACCTCTCTAGAAAAAAAAAAACTAAAATTCTTATATACTTACATATTTGCAGAACCCGATTCGGTCGCGCGGACATACTTTTTTCCCGTGAACAAAATAGTATAGAAATTATACATTTATAGTAATGTTATATTCTGACGAGGATTTCCAAGTTACGACTTAATACGAAGTGGCAAGTGCGATAAAAGTAATAGGTATTGAGTAGGTAGGTACCTACCCGTTATCTTTGAAATAATATTTAATAGTATATTATAAACTTTATCGCACAGAAAAACTGATTATTGATGGATTTGAGTGTATAGCAATTAGTAATAGTTGTGTATCAGTGGCGTACACACGAGGGGGGGGGGTTTGGGTGTTCAACCCCCCCCCCCCCCCCCCCCCCCTTTAGTATTTTTTCAGTTTACGTAATTATGTAAAAATGTATAATAAAAAGGTGGGTAAGTGGATGTCGCTCTGCTGTACTGTAGGTTACAAGTGGGTCACTGTATAATGGATGGTATTAAATTTGAATTCAATGATACAATATCATTGTATAAGAAAAACGATTCTGAGCGAAGACGGTATGTCAGTCTAGGTTTAAGACAAATTATATACATATCTATGGTATTAAAAAAAATTGACCTATAATAAATTCCAAATTAATCATATCACATTATCACAATATCCATTAGGTACTTATAACACGTTATACATCAACATCAATAACAAATCCTGATACTATCATTGATATATAATAGTAAACTTTAGAAGTTTCAAGTAGGTACCTACCTATGAATAATATTATATAATCACAACAAAATAACTAGGTTTTTTAATGTGTAATTTCGTCCAAATTTGAACGTAAAATGACTATAAAAATAAACTGTGATTGTATATTTTTTAGATTTTTTGGTAAAAGAATTAACTACTTACGTGGAATCTTGTTTTAAATTTTCAATCCTTAGCTATAAAACCTGATTATTTTATAATTTATTAATTACGATGATTAATAATTTTCGAGATTTTGAAAAATTCTGTTAAAATTCGATGTTTAAATGCTTATAAAAAAAAACTGTGCCTATGTATTTTTAATATTTTTCAACTGATATTGTAACAATATATCAGGAGCCTTGTATTGAATTTTTACACTTTTTGGCCCAACAGATAAAACTTTATTAATATTTATAGAAAAAAAAAACTAAAAAAATTGAAAACTGAAAATGTCCGTAAACGGCTCAAAAAGAGTCAAAATATTTTCAAAATTGTATGGTGTATAGGAAATGCTTATACAAACATTCAGTGAAATTTTCATGTATCTATAGTTATTCGTTTATGAATAACAATAAAATAAGGAAATCGCTACATGAGAAATCGAGTGAACATCCAATGTTGTAAAAATTTGAATTTCAAACGCTCATAAAAATTTAATTTGACTGTCCGGTAGAGATTTTTTTATTGATAAAGGTAGACAAACTTATGAGTCATCTTGTATTACATTTTCAAATCTTAGATTTAAAAAGAAAAATTTTTACGAATACTTAACTCAAAATAATTTGCTAATTTTCGTGATTTGTCAATTTTTGAACTTTAAATGCTTATAAAAAAAAACTGTGACTAACGATTTTTAATATTTTTCATCTGCCTTTGAAACAATATAGTAGGAACCTTGTATTAAATATAGGTATTTCTATATATATATATAAGTATTTCTACTCAACAAACAAAGTTTTATTGATATTTTTAGAAAAAAAACTAAAAAAAAATAGAAAATGAAAATGTCCCTAAACAGTTCATAATAAATCAAAATATTTTGAAAATGTTATCGTGTATAGAAAATGCAAATATAAACAACCAGTGAAAATTTCATGTATCTACGGCCATTTGTTTTAAAGTTACACCAAAAACCAAATTCGATTTTGTCAAAAACCTATTTTGCGTAAAAATTCCCGTTTTTCCTTCATTTTTATGTTGTTTTTCCCGGCGCTTGTGAAAACTATTGGGAATTTTAAATTTTGACCTCCCCAATGCACCAACGATATTCACTCTCCAATCGAACAAGATACTGAAGTCGAAAATCGAAGCATTATTTCGACTACTTATCGTGTACACAGATACACACAAAAAAAAAACACACATCATTGTAAAATCAATACACTCATCGTTTCACTCAGAATCTAAAATGATGACAATTTAAAAAAAAAATTAATAGTAGGTACTAATAAAAATAAATACAAAATTAAATTAAGGGAATTTCAGTGTTACCGTCACAATCGAGTTTCGATTAGAAATGTACGGCGAGAAGGTCGTCACTGAAGTTATTATTAGATATAAGATATTCCAAATTATATACTCCATTATATTATAACTTATAAGCAACCCAGTTTGTTGTTATAATATATTGTAGATATTATTGATAACTTGTTACAAATTAATGAAATTATTGGGAAATTTGTTCAAACACAAACATGAGGGTCGACAATCGTGTAATCCGATATAATATGCCTTAATAGCTATCGCAGTATCGCTAATACTACAGTATAGAATCTATTTCTCAGTTTTCAATCAAATTCCTGACGCTTTGGACGTTTAGTAAATTGTACTTACTGTTTAAATATTTTATAAAACAATAAAAATGAAAAGAATAAACGAATATTTTTCTAACTCACTAATTTGTGATACAATTAACTCGGAGGAACCAGGTAAATATTTAATACATTATATTATCAACCTAGGACCTAGGTACAAAAAAATGATTAATATGGTAAAAATAAATTTCTCTATACACCTATCTTTTATTGAATTGTACGAGTATATAATATATTATTATATACACATTGTATGTACGCGTGTAGCTTAAAGTTTTGTAGTTATACTAAAAATTACCCGTAGGTAATAGGTATATATTTTTAAATAATAATCGAGAATTGTAAAAATATTTTTAATTTCACCTTAAGTCATTGCTAATGAGCCGATTACTCATTATGTACAAAATAATTACTATAGGTACATCGTTTTGATTTGTCAATGTATAATATATATATATATATATATGTATAAAATGTTTTATATGTAAGCCCCCCCCCCCATTGAAAATAGCTGTGTACGCCACTGTAGCCAATAGCCATAAACGGATGGGTAGGTATAATAAAATATAAATTAGTGGCTCTTATCTTTTATAAGATATTACACATTTTCTATTAGTCTCATCTTTTCGACGAGAATTCTACAAAAGAAGAATTTAAAAAATTGGAAAAAAAACCAAAAAATTCAATTGATGCACTTAAAGTTGTGTAATGCAGACGTATATGCGGGAGTTAATAATTTATTTCAAATTTTGTCTACACTTCCTATATCTACGGCTTCAAACGAACGGACTTTTTCATCTCTAAAAAGAATTAAAACATATCTACGAAGTACAATATCTGAGGTAATAAAATGATATTGAGAAATTTTAATTTTAAAACTTATATTTGTGGTTATCTTGTTTTAGAAAAGACTAAATGGATTGGCCGTGTTAAACATTCACAGGGAAGTTGAAATTGCTGTCGATGAAGTGATCGAGGAGTTGGCAAAAAAATCGAGACGACTGGATTTTATTTTATAACAATACTTGATATGTGGTGCTAAATACAATATATGTATATAAATATAATATTACATTAGACTATACGATTATATATTATTTTGTTCCATCCTCCAACAACTGCATAAGAACGTACCTAACCATTACAAAATATCATAGCTTATATTAACCATGTATTAACTGAGCCCCCCCCCCCCAGAAAAATTTTGAAAATACACCACTGAAAAAGCGTGATATTATAATATAAACAAACTATAATACAAACATCTAGATATTAGGTTGCCATAATATATGGTTTAGCTATAGAATAAATAGAAAAATATTTATGATATTTATGCTGTTTTGCAATTTATTCAATTTAAAGGACCAACT